CATGCATTTGCAATGCTGCTCTTAGGTGTACAGTGTCTACACTCAGCATACAACTCATGGCTATCCAATCAGTAATAATAATAAATGAGAAGTCCATTTTAACCTGGGAAAGGGGACTGGCCAGACATGCTCTCAAGCTGGCTGCCAAATGGCAGGAAAATGGATATAATGGACAGCAGCCAGAAGCCCAGAGGCTAGATACTCACCTCCCGTGCCATGTGGGGACACGTGTTCATGGGGCAGAGCAGTCAGGAAGTCATGAGGAGCCAACTGCTCCTTTCCCCCTTCCTTTGACATTTGCACCCATCCCAGGTCCTCTGTGCTATAGAGAAGCCCTTGCCAGCGTCAGGTTAACCAGCTGCAGGAGAGCAAAATCCAAGAGGGAAGAAGATGTCCTCTGGATGACAGAAACCACACCCAGTGCAGGGACTTCTAGCCATGGCAGCACTGTTCTCAGACTTTTTGGTTTGCTTCCATCAAAGCTTGGTCCCTAGAACCCACTGAGAGAGATCTGAGATTGTCTACTGTGTCGTCTCTAGGACCAGCTTTGAATGAACATGTTTCCTCCCACCAAAGTGGTCTTTCAGATTTTCTGTAGAGCTGGATACCAGTGGTATGACCTCTAATTCCTTCTTGGAGAAGACTCCCAGCACGGGGGTGTTCCCTGCTCTCCCCCAGCTCCCCATGCATCCTGACTCTATACCCTTTCCTCTCTCCTCAGCCTCCATTCCTTTCCCGCTCTACCACACTACACAGACACTCCCCTGTGACACAACCTTGGCTCTCTCCCTGGAAGGAATGTATTTTTGCTCAGCACTTTTATGTCTTACCAGTGAAAGGCTCCAGGCAGGGCTAGGAGTGGGGAGAAGTCTCTCTGAGCAAGTGAGCATTGGGCCCACCCCAGTGGCCTGCCCACAGGATGGGGTGGAGAGGCGCAACCGCAGCAGGAGACTGAGCAGCTGAAGAGGAGAGGAGGTGAGAAGAGCATTCAGAGGGAAACCACACTGGATGGAGGACAAGGCTGGGGCCAGCTGGGAAAGGTGGGCTACGAGAGCAGCCAGCTGATCCTTGTGACAGCCTTCCTTCGTGGCTCTTTAGAACAGCTGTAGCTCAACTTTGGACTGTTTTCATGGCATGACAAGAAACTAAACGTGATATGGGATGTCCTTCAGTATGTGTGTGTATGTGTGTTGCTTTCATTGGCTAATGAATAAAGTTGTTTTAGTCAATGACTCAGGCATATTTCCAGCTAGCTCTTATATCTTGAATTAACCCACTTCTATTAATTCGTGTATTGCCATGTGGCTGTGGCTTACCGGAAAGGTTCCTGAGTCGTCTGTCTCCTTCGGCAACTACATGGCATCTCGTTGACTCCGCCTACTCTCTCCCTATATCTCTGTTCAGATTTCCCACCTGGCTTTACTCAGCTAAGCCATTGGCAGAAGCAGCTTTACTCATTAGCCAATAAAAGCAACACATATACAGAAGGACAACCCACATCATGAAAGGCCGTGTTAAGTGGCTGTGGCAGCAACTGTGAGAGCTGGGCAAGTAGAACTCTGTCTCTACTCCAGGACACAAGGCCTTCCTTCATGCTGTAGGAAACACTACCCCTACCAGGACACCTTTGCCTGCCCTTCTTCCAGTCTCCAGTTTACAATTCCTCAGTGTCCTTCAAAACCAGTGGATTAATCATTTCCTGTCAGTATTCTCTTTGGCACCGTCTTATCTGATGTCAATTTTTTAGGGTCTAAAACATTTCCTGGCACTCATTATGTCCTCAGTAAATACCGGCTGGTCAAAGTGGGAGTGAATTACCTCAGTGCCCCTGCTCAGAGAATCCTCTCTCGGTGCTCTCCATCCCCCATGGTGGAGTCCATGCTACTTTCAAAGGATAAGCCTATCCCCCTCTGCTCTAGGTAGAGTCACAGTGCTTTGTCTCTCTCTCTCTCTCTCTCTCTCTCTCTCTCTCTCTCTCTCTTGAGGATTTGAAATGACATTTTAAAGATCCTCTTCTGAGACCGCATGGGTTGTGTACCTGGGGGTGTCGGCCTTTGTCCTACTCCAAAGCAAGTAAACATTTAGTCCCAGGCATTGAGTGAACAGATTCCTCCTAGGTGTGAAGGGAGGGCTGTGTTGGTGAGCTGGATTTCAACTCATTTGTCCAGGTCAATCTGTGGAAGGTTTCCAGAGGTTAGACATTACCTTGGCATAGGAGCATTTACTAGAGAGATGCTATGAAGACCAGGAGCTGCCACCTCTTCCCGCTCCCTAGAGATACTCCCAGCTACCACAGTGTCACAGGCCACACACGTCTTTGCTGCTCAGAGACTGAATAGCCACTGCTGCTGTGGCCAAGACCTTGTCCAGAGAGAAGTGAAAGAAAGTTGCTGTTCTTTTTGATACCCTCTGCAGAAAGCATCCCAAACACCTCCAGACAGAAGAACACGAAACCTTGCTTGCTAGGTATGGGTGAAACTTACTACTGTAAGAAACCAGGGAGGAGAACGAAAACACTGTGAGCCTGCAGACTGTATGGAAAAACCAGAGAATCCATATAATATAACCACTTGTTTATATGGTCCAGAGATTTGGCTGATACAGTTCTCAAGAGTCTATATGAGCATGCCCATACAGGGATATGGTTATATTATTCATGGGTTCTGCTTATACAGTCTGCCATGTTTTATACCAGATACAGGTATGTAGATGACATGTTTCCTATTTAAGGTTGTTTTAAGGCCATTTCTCACTGCAAGTGTGTCATAATCTGAATGTGGCGACTGATTCGATGTTTCAGTAATACATACCTTGCACGTAAGTGACCAGAGGGTCACAAGGGTCTGCTCACTGACTTTTTCAGAGAGGGCCTCATGTAGCCCAGGCTGGCCTTAAATTCACTACACAGCTGAGGGTGACCTTGATCTCCTGGCTCCCCCACCTCCTGCTTCTCAGGTACTGGGATCGAAGTGTGAGTGACCACGCCCAGCTCTGCCCTGCCACTTAAATGCAGGCCCCTTTTTGGACCTGAGTTTTCCCAAGAGCTTGGATTAGACAGTTACAAAGTTTTCTTTTAAAGCAAAAAAAAAAAAAAAAGACATTTATGATCTGCGTAATTTTTTACAAGCACACCTCCCAGCTTTTCCTCACGGATGAGGCATGATCCATACCGTACCAGGCTGTGTTGTATACAAATTTATCAAACCATCAAACATTGCAGCCCCTGAATATGTACGTGTTCTCTCTTTCTTTCTCTCTCTCTCTCTCTCTCTCTCTTTCTCTTCTTTGTTCTCGTTTTGTTTCACTAATTACTTCTAAGGAATTGAGTCCCATTAAGACATTTCACGCTCAGCCAGCATGTTCGATTTCTAGACAGATGCTTAAAATAAAGAGGAGGAGTTTTATCTGATACCTTTATTTATATGCAAAACAGCGCACCAGTCATGAGATATGAAAACTCGTCAGGTAGAAACCAGGTTATATCTATTTTCACTACAAAATATTGCATTATATAAAGCAACAGAGACACAAAAAAACCCTGAAAAAGACTAAAATCTTTGGATAGCAGATGTGGTTTTTTTTTTTTTTTTTCCTTTCTCCCTTGTCTCTAAAATACACTTCTTGCTTTACGAGTTTCACAGCCAAGAACATGAAACATTTCCAGGTCATAGACTTTTCTTTTTGGTTGTCACAGAGGAAGTAAGTCTGAATTCTTTTTTCTTTTCTTTTTTTAGGAAAATAATGTAACTTCCTAAAATCATCCCACGCACAAACGTCACACACGCACACACAAGAAGCTATTCCTTATAAACAGTTTGGAAAGGTTCCTTTCAGACAAAACTACAGGCAAGAATAACAACACTTAACTTCTTAGAAAACTATAGCAGTGAAGGGCTAGTGTTGCTGACCTCACAACAAAACAACCAACTTCGTAATATATAAAATATGCTTAGAAACAGGGGAAGCGGGAACTCTCTTATACAAGTGCAATATAATCCGAAAAAATAAAGAAGACCACAAGATAATCGCAACAAACACATAAAAGGTTAGACGCAATTATTTCACGGGGGAAAAGTGTAAACACTTGACTATAAATAAATTGGCACGGAGTATCCAAAGTAAAATTATCACCACTCTGAAAAATAAATGTCTTGAAAAAAATACTCTACTCCTTCTAACATAAATAAAAATAGGCTGTCTTTTTTCTAACTGCATCTATGGGTCCACATGTTAAGGTCACAAATAGAAGGGTTGTTTTTGGATATTTAAAGGGGCATTTTGCCCTGAAAAGCAATCAGATGTTAAATTTTCCATTTAAATATGGAGTTTTCTATCTACCTTAGTGTCCTATCTTGGGGTTAAAGTCTCACTAAGCTCAAATCCTCCCACGGTGTGTTTTGTCTATTCTGAATGTATCTTTTTTTTAACCTTGTCAAATATTCAGGATTTTATTTATATTTGAATGTGATTTTTCATTTCACAGGGTGAACAGAAAGTTTACTGGGCCACCTTTCTGTCTTAATCTCTATATGGAAAAGATTTTAATCTTTTCCTTCTCCCCAAGGTTTGGTGATTTCTCAATTAGAAAAACCCCCGATAGTCACAATCTGAACCGATCAGCCTGGGCTGAGCTTCTGCCCTTCCTTATCCTTTCAAAATATGAAGATGTATGGGATTTAAATAGGGGGACTCAAAGCCTCCAGTGGGTTACTGCAACCACCCTTAAGGAGATGTCCCTAACACATCCAAGGAAGGCCCCGAGCAACTCACCCTAGGTACCTCCAGAAGGTTCTTCCAGCCAGGAAAATATCCCTGCAAGACCCAGATCTTTCTGTCCAACCCCACCTCCCAGGCTCGGAAACATTGCCCTGTTGCCTTGATGACCAGAGAGAACAGACTGCAAGCTTCCCCCCTCGTTCTGGTGTCTCTGGGCGACCGTCAGGCCTGGCAGGACGGGTGTGTTGCCTTTGGCAGACTAGACGCCCGCCCGGACCGGCGGCCTCCCGCGGCGTCCCCCTCCCTACACGTCCAGGACGTGGTTGAGATAGGAGATGTAGCAGATGGCCAGGCGCAGGATCTCGATCTTGGAGAGCTTCTTGTCCGGGGGCAGCGTGGGCAGCAGCTTGCGGAGCTCGGCGAAGGCCAGGTTGAAGGCCTCCACGCGGATGCGCTCGCGGGTGGCGTGGGCCGAGCGGTACTTGGCCGTGGCGCGCCGGCGGCGGCGCTTCTCCTCGCGGCTCAGCTGCTGCGGGTGCGGGTAGAGCGCGGCCCGGCTGCCGCCCTTGCTGTCGCCGTCGGCCTCCTCCACCGGCTCCAGGTCCGACACGCTGCCCAGCACCTTGACATCTGCGCCGCCCAGAGACTCCGGGTCCGAGTGCGTCGAGCTGGGGTGATCTGAGTCGGCGGCTTGGTCCGGACTCAGCATCATTTTGCAGGCTGATGGGGAGTCAGAAAGTCAGTCAATAAAAGGAATCTGATTCTTCATTTGCAATGAGGGGTGGTAGGCGAGGGCCTAGCAAGCTTGACTGCTAGAGGACCAGTGTCCCGGGGTCCCCTCCTCGCACCAGGCCCACGCACATTGGGAGGAAAGGCTAGGAGAGGAGCCGGCAACAGAGCGCACCCCGAACCCCACACCAAAGCCTGCAGGTGGCCTAAGCAGCCAATGGCCTTGGGGTTGGAGAACGATTGTGGGCCTGCAGCGCTGGCTGGCATTTTGTGCCTCCTCTGACCAAACATCAGCTGCTCTATCCCGCCCCCTTGCTCCATCCCCTTCCTTGACACACGAAAGACCTCGGTGGATGGATGTCTCTGGCTTTGAATAGAGACGCGGAGTGTGCTTCTCGCCCGAGGGCCTGGGGCAAGGCAGCTGGAGACTCCCAGCGCCCGGGAATCTGGGCTGCGCTAGGGTGCGGGCGAATCTTATCCCGGAACCTAGGTCGGGGACAGAAAGGCTTCCGTGTCCCCCCTCGCGTTTCTCCGAAATAATAAAGAAATGACCGAACACATGTGTTCGGTCCTTTCAAAAGAAAATTGACTCCTCGGCCCTCACATGCTCCCGGAGCACCATCTGTCACGCAGACTGCCACACACATTGGGGACCTAGGGACGTGGATCACACAATGCCCGGCAGTCTGCCGACCACCTCCCGGGAAAACACAGGCGGCCGGGTCGCTCCGGGCGGAGAGGCTGGGAGGGTAAGGGAGGGATGGACTCCGAAGCACGGATGCGGGACGCCCCAGGCGCAAGCTGCATCTTTGCAGGTAAAGTTCGTGAGCTCCCGGGACCCGAGCCTGGCAGCGCACCTCTGGGCCCCGGGAGGCCTGGCTGCCACCCCGCGGCTGCGCTCGCCTTCCAGGAAAAGCCACCTCCCGCCGGGCTCTCGGGCCTGGAGGAAGGGCCCCCGCTGCGCGCCTTCGGGAACCGCTGGGCTAGTGGGGCACCGGGGACCGGCGGGTGGAGACAGGCACCTGCCCAAGCTGAGCGCTTGAACCTCGGCCTCCAGGAGAAACGACCCAGCTGCGACCCCTGGTCCCCAGAGTAGGCTCTGAACAGGTTGTGAGTTAGAGGCTCGCTCCAGAGAAACAAAAGCCAGGGGCTGTGGGTTCGGCTCTTGGCCCTGCACTTGCGCAGGAGCGAACTAAGCTCGGAAACAGCTTTCCGTGCAAGGAAAGCCGATTCTCAAAATATCAATAAATGATCCAAACGAACCACACGCGATCCCCTACGAGCTTTTCTCTACGTTTATAAGTGAAACAACTCGCACTTACTCAGTTGCCATGAAGGGACAGAAACACAGAGGGAGAAAAAAAAATCACAACAAACCATGACATAGTTACAGATCGGACAAAAAGTTCCCGGGTTGTCCTCCACGCGTTTAAATTCTCAGGATATATTGAATTGTCATAAACAATATTCTTCGTGGGTATTTATGTCTATGACTATGAGTGGGTTGCATCTATAAAATGCAATATGAATCAACTTAATTTCAAGAAAAAGAGACGTAAAGATGTCTTACCTTGCAAAAGCCCGGCCGATAATCGGTTCGCCAATCTTTTAGAGTTAAAATTCCAGGGAACAAGGAGGAGAGATCCTGGCAAATATTAAAAGCAGCCAATATTTATTACATTCACAGATGAAAAAACAGCTGTCATCTCGCCGACCGCCACAACGAGCGACGGTGTTTTAGGAGGTGGTATGATTGTTCGCTTAGTTGATAGATTGAAAACGCCTGCTCCTTTTAATTGTTCTTAAACATTTCGGGAAAATTCGTTGTTGATCTTTTTAAGTCGAAGTGTTGAAGCCTCGCGCTTCCCCAGCTTCCTAGGGCTCTATAAATAACAAAAGAGATGCAGAGATAAACGCAGTCATATCAAAGGGCTGATTCCTTCACTTTCTAATAGCAGAATAATCGATACGAAAGATGGTTAAGATAAAATTCCATTCCTTAAGGACTCCTTCCCTCCCCTTAATCGGGCTGGGACGAACCTGGGAAGTGCGCGGAGGGATGGCTGTGGCTTAGAAGTGATTTCTTTTTTCTTCAAGATAATGCTTTGTTCCCCGGAACACAATACGGTAACTAGGGGCTAAGGTTGCCTCTGTCTTGTCCCTCGTTGACTTATATGTTGTATAAACAGACACCTATTTTCCAGTTTCAAAGTCTTTCAAGGCTTAGTTACACCCCCTCCCCTACCCCACTCCCCCCTCTCTTTACCTTATAGCAGTAATATATATATACTCAGTAGCATGGAGAGCTTGAGAAAGGTTGGTGAGACCTGACCGGCTTCTGGAGTAACACAGACAGGGAAGCAGAGAAGGGAGAGGTTGGGAGAGCCAGAGCAAAGAGGCAGCTGCCTGTGTGGCTTCTTGGCTCTTCTGGTACCAATTGATTTAGCCTGGAGATGGTGGAAGAGATAAAGGCTTAAGAAGGGGGATGGAATTTTTTTCCCCCTAAATTGATATTTAATGGGAAATCCTATTGGACAGAAACCTGGACACGAGTCACTTAATTGGACTTGACATCTGTCACAGTGTGGGAGTTTTCACAGCCCAAATATTTTAGCAGATCAGATTCCCACTGAATCTGTGCCATAAAATATAGCAGTTGAAAGCAGTCCATGATGGATAGAAACCATAGTGTCTAAACAGTGTTTAGCCACACAGACAATTTCTTGTTTTCTGATTATTGATGCACTATGTAAGTACAAGTAAACATTTTATAAACATGGAAAATTCCTCTGGCTTTTGTAAGCCAGCATCTTTTATCAATGGTTAGGAAAATAGTTTTGGAAACATATACTATATAAGATGCTATAATTAAGGTGAAATATTCAGATAGGCAATGCTAACATTTATTAGAGATGGCATGTCTTTTTTAAAAGACCCTTTAATCATGATTATTAAGAGTGTTGATATTTTGGAGACGTGTTCTCCTCTGAGGCTAACTTACTAATAGATGATTTTAAAAGATACTTTTAACACATTAATATAAATTGTTGGTAAAATTAGGAACAGAACTGAAGTAGCTAGGGACCACTAGATAAGACAATTCTACTTTTTTAAGTTATGCTTGTTTTTCTCTCCATCCATTTATTCATTTATCCATTGTTTGGCTTAAAATATGACAGACCGGACGTGTCAATTATTGCACTTCATTCTTGCCCATCTCAACATATGAGTGGATATATTTACCTGGTGGCACTGTGTTGTGCTAAAATGTAAACACAAAGTATTCCAGCATACAATTTGCTGGAACATACCTTTGCCCTATATGACCTCCAGCCCTGAATTTACGGGTTACAAAAATAAGGGAAATCTACTGTTAGTCACTATCAATTAATCACATACTGCCAGAGACACCATCAATTGCATTTTTTTCTTTCTTTTCTTCTTCCTTCCTTTCTTCTTGGTATTTTAGACAAGGTCTCACTACACAGCCCTAGCTAGCCTGAACCTCACCATAGAGACCAGACTGCTCCCCAACTCGTAGAGATCTGCTTGCCTCGGCTTCCCAGGCGTTGGGATTAAAGGCATGTGCTACCACATCTAGCCTTTCTTTTTCTTTTTTAAAATTGGTCAGTCTTAAAGAAAATAAGAGCATTGTAGCCACGTCATGTCTTCCTGTTCCTGGGGGGATGTTTATAGAGAGGAGAGTCTTGGCTTACTCTCCACAATCACCTTCTTCCTATAAAGAGGTATTCTCCTCAGGGGAGGGGTTTGACGCTGCCCACCTAGCGAATGGCCCTCGGGGTCCCTGATATCTGCGATATATAAGTGCTAACTTTTGTTCACATACGCTCTGGGAGGGTCGTGGGCCAAAATAGGCAGGGGAGAGGGAAAGAGGGAGTCTGAGGAATATGGCCCCAGTTCCGTTCAGCCTCACCTCTGTTCAGGCCAAGCATATTGCCACTTGGAGGCAGAAGGCAGCCTCAAGCAGATGACAGTGGAAACATGTGAGTAGCTAGGTCCTGCCCCTGCAGGCTGGAGGGGGTGGGGAGTGAAGACTGAGAAAAAAGGGTGGTTTCCCAGCCTGCCTAGCGGCTCCACACAGATGCCTATCTCTAGATACCTGCACCTCCTCGCCATCCAGCCCTCATATAAACTGTCTGGCTCACTTAGACATTTAAACAGATGGGTTGAAAACTGTGATGGGTTTTGTCATCTGAGCTCTAGAAAGCACAGCTGCTAGGATAGAAGTGTCCAGTGTCCCTGGTCACCCTACTGTTGGGAGTTGGATGGAGGAAAAGAAGCCCAAGCCATGGCTGGCCCGATTCTGCTATGGCGTGCGTGAATCCAGCCGAATTCTCTTTCATAGCCAGGCCATTGATGGCCTGCACATTCATAAGTTAATATGTGGTTGAGGCTGTGTAGAAACACTTCAGATTCATAGACAGCTATGCTTAAACACGTCATTATAGACACAAATATGGATTTACGCACACATGCATTCTCTCCTATGGGAAAGCTCCCTTCCCCCTTGCCTTTTCTAAGTCATCCGGGCACAGATGGACCTTCTTCTCATGTCCCCCTCGGAGGCTGTATATTGTGTGTTCTGGTTTCCGTATCTATCTCTCCCACTAGGCTGGGACATTTCCAGGAAAGCTCTGTAGCTTGTATCTTCACCTGTTCTATCTGACCTTGACACATTATATGCACTTAGTTCATTGATGGTGAGTAACTTCCTGTGTACAGAGGTTCCCAAGAGACTGGTGAGGAAGCCAAGCCCACCCGCAGATGCCCAGCCTTCCATTCTGATGATTTCTATTCTTCAAAGCGAGTGTGAGAACCACCTCTCTCCCCACACCAGCTTGCGGGGACACTCAATGGGTGTGCAAGTATATGATGGAACGCTAAGTGCCATGCAAATCAGGACGTCCTAAAGTGTAAGGCTAATCTTAAATAATGTCAAAGCAAGCAGGAGATGGTGAGTAG